ATGCGGGACTCGATCCCGGGACTCCAGGATCATGACCGGAGCCGAAGGCAGTCGCCCAACCGACTGAGCCACCCAGGCGCCCTGGGTGGGCTCTTTAAAGACAGGGATGTGCCCTGTGTGTCTGTATCTTTGGCACCCGGCACGGAGTTGGGCATGGTGGTGGTGGGGTGCTCAGTCAGTGTTTATTCTCTTCCTCTCTTCCCTGGCCCCACAGGCTCACCAAGGGCATTCTGTCAGTGGAGACAATTTCTGAGCTGAGACAGTGGGGCTGTCCCGAGCCACTCAGCAGATATGAAGAATCCCTCCCTCCCTTTGGAGATGCTCCACGAGCCTCCCTGGGCTCAGTTTTTCTCAATTGTGTGTGTGTTTCTCAGATGTCCAGGAATCCCATGCGAGGCGAAGGCTGCTTTGGAGTTCTAAAGTCTGTCCGGGATAATCCGATGTCTGCCCTAGAACTCCTAGATTTCTCTGTAAGAGCTTTTCATAAATCTCATCTGTGATCCTCCCCACAGCCCCATGAGTTATCATTTAGAGGAAGAAAGTGGGGATCAGAGAAATAGAATGCCCTGCCCAGATACTTAGTGTGGCTGAATCTGAGTCCCACCCCAGGCTGGACTGTAAGGTCACAGTGCCACTCTGGCTCTATTCCCACTCCTGATTGGGGGGTCCCGCCATGGTCTCACCTCCAACCCCTGCCTGGGTTCTTCATTGGCTGAGAGAGACTAGGTGGCTCAGAGGACACAAAGCTCGCTGTTCACTGATGTTTGGATCTGCAGGTTTAGTACTTGCAAGGTGGCCCTGCCCCACGCCCTGGCCTGTTCTGTCTGCAGGTGGATCATGGTGCTGGAAGATTCACTCATGTGGCCTTGAGGGAGATTAAGACTCCTTTTCATTCAATTGTGCCTTTTTGATATAGAAAATTAAAAGCAGGGGCGTCTGGGTGGCTCAGTCGTTAAGCGTCTGCCTTCAGCTCAGGTCATAATCCCAGGGTCCTGGGATCGAGCCCCACATCGGGCTCCCTGCTCAGCAGGAAGCCTGCTTCTCCCTCTCCC